GCGCCGCCAGGCACTCCGCCACGCGCATCAGGCCGATACCGTCCGGCCCGCTGACAGCCAGCACTCTGCCCAGCGGCCGTCCCGCGCCGGCGCCGCGCACCGCCGCACCCACAGCCGCGTCTCCGGGCGGCCGCGAGAAGTGCAGCGGCATCACCCGCTTCCTGATCACTCCCGTGTGGTGTGTGCGTGCCGTCAGCTCCTGACCCACGTAGCAGCCCTTGTGGAAGCTGACGCCGTGCAGGTAGTCGGCGTTGTACTCGAGCGGCGTGCAGGCGGCGTACGGCACCTCGTCGGCGCCCTCAGCCACGCCCAGGCGGTAGCGCAGCGGCCGCGGGTCCGGACCGGTCCTGGCAGTCGGCAGCACGTCTCGCGGCAGGGTGAACGCGTCCAGAAGCAGGCGCCAGCCGAGCGCAGCCAGCCGGGGGTCCCGGGACGCCGAGATCAGACCCTGGGCCGGCTGCAGCGGCAGTCCCAGCGGCCCCGTGGCGTGCGGCGAGGCGCCGTGCTCTGTGCACTGGACGGCGGACAGACCGCTACCGTCGGCATCGGCCGCCTCCTGTACCACAAACACGGCCGTCTGCTCGGTCACGTCGTCAATCTCGATGGCGCGTCGCACCCGGTATATTTTCAGCATGCTCTGCAGCTTGGAGGTCATCGAGCGGTCCACCTCGAGGAAGAAGCTGCCGTCATCGTCGTGTTGGTGGATCAGCAGGTCGAACAGCACGCGACCCTTGTTGTTGAGCATCATGGCATAAATGGCCCGAGCGCCGTCCTCGAAGTGACGCATGTCATTGGTGACGAGTCCCTGGAGGAAAGGCACCGCCTGCGGTCCCCGCACGCGCACCAGACCTCGCCCGGTCAGCGGGTACATCCAGTGACTGGGGCCGGCGCTCAGCTGACGGACGGACCGGACGGCAGAGCTGACTGGGCGGCCGCCCAGATGTCGCCAACAGCTTCTGGCCAGCATCGCGGCAAGGGGCGACCGGAAAACCTAGGTGGACCAACAAGGCAGCTCAGAAAGGCATCAACAGAGTGCGACGTGCGTTGCTTCATAAACAAGCTTTTTGTGAGTTTTTTTTTCTCTCTGTATAAACACCATACAGCTTTTACCACACCATACCCGTAATATCAAATGCGAACGAAACTTCTATCCAAATATCGAGGGACGTCATATCTATTTGACTTAAAAAGCAAAAAGGGTTTTTAAAAAAATCAATAACGATAAGACGGAAAAATATCTACCCACATGCCTCTGCACGATAATTGGTGCAAAAATTTCCCATGGAAACCAGATAGCTATGTTAAAAAAGCCTATGGCCGACAGAGCTCACAGTGCTAAAGTAACTCATCTTTGCAATGAAACTTAGTGCTTCTGAAAACCAAATCAAACGCTCCCGTCCGAACAATTTCGGTTCGTTCCTCAAAATTCGACACCGTTTTCCCGATATCCTGGCTCCGATGAATTTGGCTTTCCAAAATAAATAGATTTTCACCATAGTTGACAGAAATGGAATATGACAAGAGATGAAAGGAGTAAGGAAAAGGTCACGGCGTCGCATCAGACATACACAACAGACAACGTCGAGTACCAGCAGCCGTGGTAGCTATGACTGACAGACAGCCGTGGTAGCTACGACTGACAGACAGCCATGTCAGCGGCGACGGACAGACGGAGAGTAGTCGACGTAACAACCTGCGACCGTTTGTGGACCGTCCCCAGTGAGGAATACGACTGTTTGGACACGAGCCACGCCGGAAATCAGCCGCGGAGTTCAAAGAACGGCCAGGAACGTGTCTAGCCTCGTAGCCTGGGGAGAAGACCACTGCAAATGCCGGGCACAGTAAGCCTGAAGCAGCGTCAGCACACCGCGTATGGAGGTAAAGGCAACCTTTCCCGGGTGACAGCGGCTCGGTGACGATGCTTCCGGACATGTCGGAGAAGAAGATGTACCAGCAAGCCTAGAAGATGGACCAAAAACCCAGGGATGGACCAGCTAGCTAATGCCGGACCAAAAGCTGAATAAGAAGAACAAAGTTCAATCGAAAAGGCTAAATGAAATTGGCCTGAAGTGAGAGCGGGCAACGGCCACCTGCACCAAGCAATGACACAGCAAAAGCCTCAAAAAGGACTAGTGATGTCAATTACGGAAAATCGGAATACCGATACCAAACCAAATACCAACCAAAACCGTGGAGAAATACCGAAACCAAACCAACTTGGGAACATGAGGAAAATACCAACCTTTTACCGATTTCTTAGCCCCTGAAACATTAGCGAGGGTTCATGATACCAAAAAAATACCAAACACATTAGGATTGAAATACCAAATACCGAGTTGGTATCGGTTTGGTATCGGTATACCAAAAAGTTGGTATCCGATTGACATCTCTAATAAGGATTAAGGACCCACTTTTTTATGATTATTCATTACTTTGTCTTTTTTTCATTATCTGTCAATAAAACTGCCTCGCGGTCCGAAGGAGTTTCACGACCTAGTATCCTTCAGAGGTCTCACAACTTGTATACCTCGAATTTTGCATAAGGTCATAGGTCGGTCACGTGACCTCACCATTATAAGTCAATAGGGGGGGGGGGGATATGGAAACTGTGATTTTAGCACCGGTAATGAACCTAAACTAGGGCTGCGGAGTCGATGGATTTTTAGAGACTCCAACTCCCACTCCGGGAAGAACTGCCGTATCCGACCGACTCCAACTCAGACTCAGACTCCGCAGCCCTGCCAGGGCTGCAGAGTCGATGGATTTCCTTTGAGTCAGACTCCGGCTCCGGTTCCCAAAATGGACCAACTCCTACTCCGACTGCGCAGCTCTGTCTCAAACTACCCCAACCACATGGATACATGTACTGACGGCACACAAAATCAACTATTAAATGTGTTTTAAATTTGGCTAAGGAACAACTCTGACCATAGATGGAATCGAAGCTTCAAGCAATGATATTTCCGTGACTGTAAACAAAATCTTACAGAGTTCGGTAGCTCCGACTCTGACTAGAACTGTCAACTCCGTCTAATGCTGATCTCAAACTTCAACGCCATTATCAGAAAACTCTATTCTAATTTCCCAAACCCCGAAATCTCAACATATTGGTATCTGGATCATATGGGGGGGGGGGGGGGTGCATAAACGTCAAGCGCCTGTCACGCTTCGAACCCGGACTGTTATAACCGGGAACGCATGCTCTCACCACACGGATTCCAACGCTCTATGAGCTACAGGACCGTATTATGTCGAGCGATATTCCCAACATTAATATGTACTGGAATTGGAACACTGGAATTGGAACTGAATGTCATAATACCGCACTGCTTATTAACCCGCGCCTGGCCGGGAGCGGGGGGGGGGGGGGGTTGCACACCTGTTCATGCATCTTTTTCGTATATGTTGTGAAAATTTCAGAACCAGCGCTCTCAAGGTCAGGTCACCAGTCACATCAAGTGACCTCACCTCCGAAAAAGTTTCAATCTTCGTCATAGCTAGGTACACCGACTGAACGATCGCCTTGAAACTTTCAGCGATTGATAAGAGTAACAGTATGTACAAAATGTATATCTCAGAGTTTTGACATCAGTGACCTGAGGTCAGGTCAATTTTGCGACCTCGGCTCTATATTACAAGTCAATGGAGAAAATTGAAAAGCGACTCTTTTGGATGAATGGTGTTCAAAACCCTCTCGGCTCTCAAACATCTGTTCATGGGGAAAACATGACACACTGAATCAGAAAAATGCACCTGTGACCCCTCTGTGTGCCCCTGAGGTCATCTCAGGTCATGAACAGTCACCAGCAGTTTTTTTTGCTATAACTTTTGATAGGGACATGCTAGAGCAATGAAAACACGTCATTTGGAAGAACTCTTAACTCATGACAGAAAGCATTCCTGCATGACTTGCTCTTTATCCAGTCTCCTTATTATCTGCAGTAGTGGCGGGACACCTTCAATTGGGGGGGGGGGGGGGGTCACTGCCGACTTTTGGTCCCATTCTTCCCAAGCAACACCCATAGGGCTAATGTTAAATGGCAAAATCAAGGGGGCACGATGTCCCCCCTGTTCCGCTACCTAGGATTATATGTTCTGATATAAAATCAACCCTTTAAATATTTATGGCACAGATTGAGATAGACGTGCATGACTCATGAGCTGAAGTGTTCAAAGAGGTTAAATTTAGCACAAATAAGCTTAAACTTTCTGGGAAAATTTTGCAAAAATTTCTGCACAAAATTACTTGTGGTGAATTTTAGCGCATGAGCCCCCAAGGGCTAGGTGTCCAGAAGTGTATGGATTTTTTCCAGTCTCAGTCTGGCATGTTTTGATAGAAAACCACCATAGATCACATCCTGATCCCCTCTGCTGCAGATTGCTTGTTCATGGCCTACCTCAGAGAACTCCAAAATCCTGTGCTCCTCCCTTTCTTCCAGTCTTCAAAGCTCGGTTTCGACTCAGACAGACTTGAGGTCCTTCTCACTTCTGAGGGCCAAAGATAGAGAGACTCATCAGTAATCAACAAGGCTGAGGCAGAATACAGGCGGACAAAAGCTCCGCAACCCTAGAAAATATCAATATTAATTTAAAGGTAATCGACAGCTCCTACCTAATTTGCTTCTTCAACTTATGTAAACAATTCAAGACTTCAAGATGTGTTTCTTGGTTTGGTTTGGGTATTCTTTGATCCCCTCGCTTTGAAACAGCGTCAAACAATCTTGGACCAAAACAGCCTGACTCGAATTTTTCTTCGAGGTTCATATCATTTTGATTCTTTAAAGTAGCCTTTACTTTCGCATCTATCCAACTCTGTCAATTTTATGCCATAATTCAAATCTTTTTAAAGGGTTTTGACTGATAAATATCTTTTTGCACTCTGTATTAATGACGTCATTAAAAAGAAAATGATTTTGAAACTCCTTAATGAGCCTTGCGCGCATGAGACGTTTGCGGTGGTATCGATTTTGCACTGTGGGATGAGGGATGAAGATACGATAATATCCTTTTTCAATCACGATAATAATCGTACGATTAGGGATAAGTCAGTCCTTTGCTTACGGGCTCAGGCAAGTCCCCATTTCAATATCACAATAGCCGCGTTCACCATTGAGACGGTGGACTCAGCCCGAGCCTCAGCCACATTGTATTTGTATTAGTCCCTGTCATCTCTGGGCAAGAGGCGAAGTCGCTGACTTTTCTCGAAGAGACCCTATGCCAACTGCAATTCTGAAGACTACAATAGAACATAACTCAAAGTACCTGGAAGTTGGATGCTAGAGCCAAGCTGCTGCGCGCCCTAACTCATTAGACATATCGATCCACAAAGGTGTGACAAATATGCTCTCTGAGAAAGGATCTTACATTTCATAATTATTAGCACAAGTGAAATGCTTAAACGTGCTTAAAGGGGCAACATGCTATAGCTGAGCCTGACACATGACAGGAGTGAGGAGTGAGTCAGTTTTGGAGACCAAGTCTTGCACATGCATAATTCTGAAGTTGGTTACACCTATTTATATACATAATACACTGTGGTTACACCTACTTTTAAACCACCCTTAGAAGCACAGGAATTCTCAAAATATCTTGGTGGAAGGAAAATGCAAGAGCACTCCTTGACTTAGTTTTTACCATTTTTCAGTCCCGGCTGCAAAAATGGTTGCTGACAAGGGCCCTTTGCCTCCTGGCTGGGAAATGAAATGGGACAGCAGGCGTGGAAAAGCGTAAGAACAATAGTCATAACTGACCTTTAATTTTTAACCCAATGTTATAGTTTGAATAACAAAAGCTGAATGTCATGATTCACTTTTAAGTAAATATTATACATTGTCAATTTTGAGCATTTCTGTGGGAACTTTATTGATGGCCTTTTTGATGGATGGATTTTATTGACTTACAGGTATTTCATCGATCACACGTCTCAAACTACCACCTGGCAGGACCCAAGAGACCAGCATGGAAGCTCACAGGCGCAACAACCGCAGGCTCAGCAGCAATACCAGTCACAGTGGCAGTGGCAACAACAACAGCAACAACAACACCAGCCACAACACCAGCCTCAGACTCACCAGCCACAGCACCAGCCACAGACTCATCAGCCACTGCACCAGTCACACCAGCCACATGGGCAGTGGCAGCAACAGCAGCAACAACTACATCAGCAACATCAGCCACCACATCAGCAACAGCAACACCAACAGCCACATCAACAGCAGCACCAACAGCCACATCAACAGCAGCACCAACAGCCACAGTGGCAGTGGCAACAGCATCAGTCACAGCCACAGCCACAGCAAACACGACAAAATGACAGCCATCATCAGCACGGCCTCCCATATCCCAGTCGCCCACAGCAGCAGGAGCAGCAGCATGCTAATCATCAGCACTCTGCGCTCCCGTACTCTGTTCAGCCCCAGCAGGGTGAGCACCACAGCCACTTTGCCCACCACATTCACCAGCCGCCCACCCCGCCGGTGCAGACTACAGAGAGCGCTCAGCGGCCGGCTGCGACCGGCTCGCCGCTCAGCGTGCCCCGGCAGGCGGCCTACAGCGGCCAGCCGGCGGCGCGCCGCTCCAGTCAGCTGTCCGTGCCGCCCGGTCAGACTCAGGTGAGAGGACCTCCATCCTCCTCTGAGGTGTCCCATGGTCAGACTCAGACTCAGGTGAGAGGACCTCCAGTTCCTCCACCCTCTGAGGTCAGAAACAGGCGAGCAGTGTACAGCGACCAGTGTCCAGATCAAGTTTTATAATGTGTTGTCTTTCCATGACTTTTGAAATTATTCCAGTTATGTGAGCAAATCATGAATGTGAGCGTATATTTTGTCGGAGGATATGTTTACACCGCTGCTTTCTCCCGTCGATGTACTTTTGGTACCTGTCTGTGCCTGTGTGTGTATGCACCGGCGACCGGCAGCACGGGAGACGGCTCGTTGGCGTCCGTCTGTCTGTGTATGCGTCTGTGTAGACGACCAGTATACACGTCTGTATAACGTGTGTGATAACTGATAAATGTGTCTTTACAGACGACCGGGGGAACAGGCGGCGGCTCGCTGACGTCCGAGGAGTCTGGCACCGAGCGGCCGGTGACCAGCACCGAGGCTGTGCCGCGGATCTGCGCTCTTTTCCCCCATATCGAGCCGCACGTCATCAGCGACCTGCTGACAAAGTGAGAACCGCAACGGACGGCCGCCACGCTTACCGACGCATATTCAATGCTGTAGCAGATATGGATCCATACTCATTTCTTAATGTAGGATGTGGGCAACTGTCTGGTACTTACGAGTATTTCCCATACACTCGCCATAGCCTCAGCAGCTCATACCTATAGCCCATTGCTTTTCGACAAGCGTATGTGGTTTTCGATATGCGGCAGGTACTGAAAAGTGAAGTCAATATGGTAGTGGATTGCGTTTTACACCTGAGCGCACGTCGTACCCCAGGCGAGGAGGTGGTCAGTGTTGACCTGTGCGGTATGACTGATCGTGGGTCGCGTTCCGTGGTGCCCCAGGTACAGCAGCCGCGAGGAGTTTGTCTGTGTGGACCGGTGCGGTGTAACTGAATTCATGCGTCGTGTTCCGTGTTCCCCAGGTACAGCAGCCGCGAGGAGTTTGTCAGTGTTGACCTGTGCGATATGACTGATCGGGTCGTGTTCCGTGTTCCCTAGGTACAGCAGCCGCGAGGAGGTGGTGATCGCCGCGCTGAGCGTCTCCCCGCCGGCCACCGAGGCCGACCACGACCACAACCAGTCGGCCGACTCGGAGGACTCGGCCACCAAAATCGGCGCCCTGTTCCCCACCGTGCCAGAGGAGCGCATCCGAGAGCTGCTCAAACGGTGCCCGACTGCATGTGCCCCGTGTCCCTCACAGCGCCCCGGCCGCCCGCCGCTAACGCACTCTGATCGGCTGGGCTTCTCACACAACCGCTCACCGCAGGCTAGCGGCTGGCCCGCAGATTGTGTTTGCACAGGGGCGCCGCCTTGTATGGGACTTGAAGGCGTACTTTAATCTAATCAACTGAGTTCAGTACTACGTCTGAACGATTATTTTGATACTTACCTTTTTGGAATAACCTTTTTGGCTAGGGTTTGGCTTTAATCATTCATTGGCTTGCTAAGCTTGACTTTATCTATTGGCATGCTAATGGTTGGGCAACGAGCACCGGTGCTTTTGACCTTGGCTTTTGATACGAGCTGCCAGGTTGGTACGTTGGGTCTGACTGCTGTGGCACCCTGTCTCCTGACGCCTACTAACCGCACGGCAGAGGTGTGCGGGGACGGCAGTGACGGCGGCGCGGGCAGTAACGATAACGGCGGCTCGGCAGGTACCACCAGCGCGAGGCGGTGGTCATCTCGGCACTGCAGGTCCAGCGCCACCCGCTGGTCATGCCCGGACCGCTCGGGACCCCGCCCTCGTTCCGGGCAGCCGCCGCCGCCGCCGTCGCCACCGCCAGTCCCTCGCTGGCCGCCACGGCCACGCCGCGACATGCCTCCCCGTCGCCGCCGTCGTACGGAGCTCCTGCTGCGGGGCCGGTGACGGGCCCCGGCTCTCCGCGGCCCGGCTCGGCCGGCAGTGGTGCCACCGTCTCCTGGCCGTCGCCCGTGCTCGGCTACTCGTCTCCGCGTCCGGACGGCCAGCCGCGGCCCCACTCGTCGCCAAAAATGAAGCTCAGGTCAAGCTCGGCGGGGTGGGCGGCCCGCCGGGCCGGGTAGTGTCGGCTCTGGCTGGCCTGACTGTACCCAGTGCGTAGCTGACTAGCCGGCGCTGCGTGTTCCGATCGGTGGGCCGGCGAAAACGTCGTAGCTGCGGCTGAAGCGACCCCATCCGGTCGTCCGCCGCTGAAGGTTTCTGACCTGCGGTGGAGCCGAACTGCGCTTATCGTCGAGCCCGAGCAGTGCATGCCGTCCCGCACGCTGCACCTCTCTGCACGTGACTACCTACCCTGTCGGCGAGGGAGACGGTAAATATAACAATCGACTGAGAAAGGGTGCACGCTGGGAGGATAGGGGTGCAATGGCATGGTTCTGTTGGGTTGTGACATACCGTCGGCTGGACATTTTCAGGTAACTCCAAACTCAGGCCCACTTGATCCCAAGAAGCGCCTTTTTCGTCGGACTGTAACATAGCTTGGGCTGGGTGGTTGTTTGGACTGTTTGATATAAAAACACGTTTTTCAATATGTCCAGTCGGCAATAAGTCACGTCCAAACTTCATAGCGCCTGCTTGTTATTTTAGCAACATCGGAAATGCCCGGGCACCATATTTTCTGTTGTTTTGCCTCATTTGCTTGAATTTTTATGAATGAAGGACTCTTCTGACAAAAAGTAAAGATGAGTCCGATTGAGATTCGGCTGGATTCTTGTTTGATTTTTAAAGCCTCCGGCTCACATCCAATGAAGATGACAAGCAATGCGTCGCAAATGGTGCCCGGGTATCTCTGATGTAGTCTGTGTGTTTCACTCGACCAGATATCTATTTGTAAATACGCTTAGTTCAGTGTGGTATCTAGTGATAACATGCATCGCTTGCTAAGGCAGCCCAGTTATACTATTACCCTGCAAGGGTGACTGGATTCAGCATATCTGACATTGGCGTTTTTGTGTCAGTAGTTGTTATTTGCACTACTAAAACGTTCCCAAGTGCAGTGCTTTCGTTCGTTTATCTCACCGCTGTTCCGACGACAGCGAGCAGCTCCAGCTGCGCGTAGTCGGTTGACCGTTCCGTGCTTCTATCCTCAGGATACAGAAATCCTTCTCCTCTACGCCGCAACCCCACTCCGGGCTGGACAGGCACTTTTATCTCATGCGGGCTGCTCCCTTGGAGTGGCACCGCTGCTCCTGAGGGAGCGCACCCCGTAGCCGAGTGCAGAGAGTGCTTGGGGGGCTGGTCGGCCTGTCCATTTGGACGGGCTCAGCCCCGGCGACTCTCTAGGGTGTCTGCCCAGACCAATGTCTCCCCCTACTTCCTAGCATCCTTCCGGCTCTGCAATGGTCTTGTCAGACCGAAAGGGCCTAATCCAACAAAACAAAACAAAACAAACGTAGTCGGTGCCATTAGGTCGGCTCCAGTACTCTCCCTTTCTTCCAAGTGGTCCTGTCTGACTCAGTTGTGTGCCGCGTCGGCTAACGGGATCCCCGTGTCGCGCCGCCGCAGGTACCTGAAGTCAGTGTTCCCGGAGGCCGATGAAGCTCTCCTGTTGGATGTGCTCACCAACTGCGACAACAGCGTGCAGAAGGCCGGCATCCGCCTCACCAGTACGTGGCAGCGCCGGGGGCTGGTCTGCCGTAGGGGATGGAGGGGAGGGTGGGGCAGTTGCACTTTTTTGGGGTGGGGGTTGGGGTGGAGTGGGGATGCAGCGCGGTCTTATTTGGTGTTTATTGTCATTATTTTTGACAATATTCATTTTGATTGCTTGTTACGAGCGAGCGAGCGCAGCGAGCGAAGCGAGTCTTTTCAATATAACGGAAAAATCTCAGTATGAGCGGCCCGGCCCGGCCTGTAACGCTTTTGAGAGGCTTATATCTCAGCAACCGCTGGACCGATTGGCCTGCGGTCTTTTTTGCTGGGTAGCCCCATCCCTTCTACCCCGTAATTGACTACTTTTGATACATCTCAGTGACCGTCGTGGCACGTGCCACGTGAAAAGTCAAGGGTGTTCAAGCTGTTTTGCAAAAGTAGTGATTTTGAGAGGCTCATATCTCAGCAGCCGCTTGGGCGATTGACTTGCGGTAATTTTTATAGGGTAGCTGCATCCTTTCTACCAAAAATAGGATACTCTCGATGCATGTGGGTCGCCCCCAGTGCGCGTGCAAAATACAACAATAAGAGGTGTCAAATTTGTTCCCATTTTAATAACTCGGATATTACTGGGGCGATTTCGCTGAAACTTGGCATACAGGTAGGCACCCACCAGGCAGTGCATTCCCATGTGTTGCGGTTAAGGTGCTACTGCACGTGCGCACGTGCAGGGGGCGCTTCCAGATCTCGAGAACGGCTGGGCCGATTGCGCTCAACTTTGGTACACGGTTGGAGACCGGTTAGTAGGGTGCCGTGCAAAAGTCAGTTTGGACCCCGTTTGCACGTGCGCACGTGCAGAATGCCGCTTCCAGATCTCAGGAACGGCTGGGCCGATTGCGTTCAAATTTGGTACACCGCTAGCGACCGGTTAGAAGGGTGCTTTGCGCAAGCCCGTTGGAAGTACCCTCTCGCCCTTCCGCACGTGCAGGGCTCACTATCTCGCTCGCTCGTTCTTCGCCCAAAAGGCGTTTTACTGGTTATTAACCCGCGCCCTGCTGGGGGTCCTGGATTTCCACGCCCTGCTGGGGGGGGGGGGGGAGTGTTTGAACACCCCCCCCTTGTAACTCGGCTCCTGGGCCACGTAGCGATACGCGGAAAGCGGCGTTCGAAAGAGCGTCAAAAATAATGACGAAATCACTTCGGTCAATTTTTTGGTCAGGTCAAAGGTCAGGTCACCAGAGGTCATTGAAGGCAAAATTTCGCCGATTTCCAGGTCGAATGTCGAAAATTTCCAAGAAGCCAACGCATAACTCGGGAACCAATAGAGCTACAGCGCCGCGGAAAAGCGCATTCGATAGCCCTATTAACGCCCTTTCTGAGTAATTCTCTCAGATTTGACCTAACGTCAACGGTTTTGCCTGCAGGGGGCAAAAACTGCAAAAATAGCCGATTTTTTCGAAAACAGTTTTTCTGCAATAACTTTTGACCCAAGCCTTGTACGAGCTTACTTTTACCGGCATCGTGTTCCTCTCGTCAAGACGCATCGAATGAACTATGACTTGACCTTGAAAGGTCAACTTGAAAATTTGACCTCAGGTCAAGGTCATGACCTGACCGGAAAGGGTCATGTTGCATATCAGTCGATCCGTATCGTCGAGCTGAACACATCTAAGGCGTTTTCATCGCTCTAGCATGCCTCTATCAAAAGTTATTTGCGAAAAACTGTTAGATACCATTCGTGACCTAAGATGACCTCAGGGCATAAACAAGGGTCACGGACACCATTTTCAAGTTCAGTGTGTCTAAACCACTTGTAATTCGGTGTTTGGGAGTGTTTATAATGTCTTTCATCCAAAAGAGGCGCATTTCAATTTTCTCCCATTGACTTATAATGGGGAGGTCGCAAAATTGACCTGACCTTAGGTCATCGATATCAAAATTCTGAGATATACATTTTGTATATGCTATTGCTTTCAGCAATCGCTGAAAGTTTCAAAGCGATCGGTCACTCGGTGTAGCTATGACAGACATTGAAAGTTTTTATGAGGTGAGGTCACTTCAAGTGACCTGGTGACCTGACCTTGAATGACCTTGGTCTGAAATTTTCACAACATGTGTAGAATTGATGTGAGCGCGCCGCCGTTTTTGAGATATTCGCTAAAAACCACAAGGGGGGGGGGTGTTCAAACACCCCCCCCCCCCAGCAGGGCGCGGGTTAAGTTATGTTTCGAAAAATTAGTACGTTTCATCATGATCATGGATAATGCATGCCCCTGTGTGACACCGTGTAACTTATGGATGCCGCGGCGGATTAACGTTCTTACGTTTCGCACACAGGCATGGGGTACGACAAGAGCGAGACGCCCGTGATTCCTGCCCGGTTCGACCTGCGCCACCAGCGGGATGCGGCCGTGGTGCGGCGTCCCGAGAGCCCGCGGCAGCCGGAGCCGTCCCCTCGCTCCCGGCTGGTCATCTCGGAGACCGAGCGACAGCGCGGTACGTGGGCGCGAGGGGGGGGGTATACTAGAGAACAGAGACTGAGGGACAGCACTGTACGCCACGGCGACCTGCCAGCCTTGGTTCGAGGCCGCCAGTGACGTCTTGGAGTATGGAGACGAGGCAGTTGTTGGGGTCCACGGCAGATAAAGATGGTTTTCTTTCAGTGCCAGGGTTTTAGATGCGTTATGCATGTTTTTTTTTTTTATACACAATAAGCGTCGCGAAGCAGCTTGTGAATTGCTTTGCGGCGCTGATCTCATGCGTTTTAGGGACTATCCCGTGTCTCTGACCTGTGACTGTCCGTGACGGCCAGCCCGTGACGCCCTGCTACGATAGCCACTGTCCCATTACGCTGACCTGTTTGCGTGCTGTTTCTGACAGCTCGTGACGCCCTGCTGCGCGACTTTCCGTCCGTCTCGGAGGAGGTGCGGAAGCTGGCCCTCGAGTCGGGCGGCTATGACCTCGAGCGGACGAGGAGTGTGCTGGAGAGCATGGTGGAGGGTCGCGGCTCGTCGGCCGCCACCGTCACCGACTCGGCGCCGGTCTCGGCACACACCAGGTCAGTGACCTGTCGCCCCACCCCGCCAGTGCACTGGTGACCTGCTCAGTGCGCCGGTCGCTTAACGACGCAGTTACATCTGGGATTGGCTGTTTATTCAGCACCCCAAACATTAATACCGATGACAACTCGATACAATATTAGTTTGGAGCCTAGACGTAGCGTTTCATTGCCCAACTTCATTATGACACGGCGAGTGCAATTGTTCTAGAAACTACGTTCTTGTCCGAGCGGCTTTGTGTATAAACGTGCATCTGATAGTGTTGATAAATGATTACGTCGGAGTCGTAGTATGTCGTTTTGAACCTTGTACCGTGGAGGGGCCATGTGGGCAGTGTGTTCTGTGGGCGGGGCTGAGCGGCGCCGGCTGCTGATAGGCACTGGGCTCGGTAGCTGACCGCCCGCTCTGTCGTCCCGCAGCGGTGAGCCGGCCTCCGGTCCGTCCCCGAAGCACAGTTCTCCCCGCTCGCCGCGGCGCGTGGCGCGCGTCCAGGCGGAGACGACGTCCACCAGTCCTCTGGCCAGTCCGAGCAGAAAGGCGCGCACCACAGCGGCCGCCCAGCCACCAAGGTGAGTGCCGAGGAGCCGTCCAGATGAGTGCCGAGGATCCGCTCAGGTGAGTGCCAAGGAGCCGGCAGATTCCGGCCTCTGCCGCCCAGGTAGTCGTGCTGTGTGCGACACCCTGGATCAGTGCATGTACTGATTGAGCCGTGTGTCAGCTGTTTAATTTTAGAGGTCATGTGGCTGAGATAATGCGAGAGAGGACGTGCTGGACTGCTATCTCAATGCTTAATCATAAAACGCATCCATCTGTTCTCATATTCACTTTTTTCTCCTTCAGCTGAGTTATCGCCGTTAGGATAATCAGCGGGCTATTGTAAGGAAATGGAGTGTGTTGTGATTGTGTCGTGTAATTGTGTCGCCTGAGCCCGCCCCTGTGCGGGCGACCCGCCGGCGGAGCTCGGCCCGCCGGACGGACCCTGGGACCGCCCCTGCACCGCCCGGGGCGGTGGCCGGTCGACTGGCGGGGCTGCGATGTCGGGACGGGTCCGTCGGTATCAAGACCCTGAATGGTGCGTGTGCCCAATAAAGCCAGGGAAGAACACGATCTTTTCCGGCGAAACCGACGCAGAGTCTGTTGGTCGTATAAGATTCGACCGTTCCTCATTACAGAAATTAGAAGAATGTTACTGAGTGTCGGCCGTCGGGAGGTGTTCAATGTTTCGATGAGGGTTGGGCGGGGACGCTGACAGTGTGTTCGTGGCATGTTTCAGCGGAGGACGCAGCACCAAAATGGAGTACCGGTCTCAGAACAGGACCGCGGCGCGTGGAGCCGACAAAAGCCTAGTGCGCGGACCCCAGTCGACCAACCTGCTGTGAGTAGCTGGCCCTCTACCAACCAGCCGGACCCCGCCAGGCGCCGACTGGGACGTTCAGACGGACATGTGATGTGAGCGCCGAGCTGTCGTCATTCAGCTGTTTGTTTAGTTCATTAGTGATTGATTAGTCGCTCGGCTTTTAAATCATCTGGTCAACCAGTCGTTGATGCAGTCAGTCGGTAAACTATTAAGTCAAAGTCATCCAGTTACTCAATGCCCAGAAGTGGGCGTGAGGGAATGTTTTAGTGTGTCAGGTCAGTGTTTGTTTAGGTGGTTGTGCGTGCTGGGTTTGTAACTGGCTCCGTTCTGTGACTCAGATCCGACTACATCGCTTGGAACGGTCCTGACCCGGAGTTGCGCCACGGCCCCAACCCCGAGCTGCGGGCGGGAGTGCAGGCCGGCCGCGCCAAAGGTGGGTCCTGGGGAGACAGCCGACAGGGTGTGATAGTGTGACTGGCGGTATTGGGGTCTGGCATAATATCTCCGTCACTGACGAGTTTGGTATTATCTCCGCCACTGACAGGTCTGGTATTGTCTCTAGTCACCGAGTGTTGTCCGCCAATGTCTCTCCCACCGACTGGTGTATTCTGTTGCAGGCGCCGACTCGAGTCTGTGTCGCGGCCACTGACTGGTGTATTTTGTTACAGGCGCCGACCCCAGTCTGTGTCGCGGCCACTGACTGGTGTATTCTGTTACAGGCGCCGACGCCAGTCTGTGTCGCGGCCACTGACTGGTGTATTCTGTTACAGGCGCCGACGCCAGCCTGTGTCGCGGCCACTGACTGGTGTATTCTGTTACAGGGGCCGACGCCAGTCTGTGTCTCGGCCCGTCGTGCGCCACTATCAAGCAGTACGCGCGCTCAATGCGCCGCATGTTAGTCACCAAGCTGTAAGTCATCCGCCCTGCCGGCCTCTGCCGTCATTCAGCGCCCTTATAGCGTGAGCGTCGAGCTTATAGCGGATAGTGCTTCACCGGCCCTGTCACAGGCCGCGCAGGCTAAGGCCGTCCATCTGACCGACCGACCAGCGACTGGTGCAACTTGCAACTGGTGCACCGTTGCCACGCCCGCTGACTGGCTGGGGTCATCGGCAGCCGGCACCGGGGACAAACAAAGGCGAACTTGTGGAGCTTAGCCACGGAATTTATCGACGCCGTTGTGAGTTTTATTTCGCATGGAGTCCGCTTAGCCAACATCAAAACATGATGAATGACAAGACATTGTACAACTGCCGGCTTCTGCTTGCCTATCTGCGTTTTACCGGTATCGTTAGCTATGCGACGTTGAAGTAACGCTAAATCTTAGTAGCTGCATGGTGCTGGCTGGATGAGTCACTTTATCACCGCTGGCTCCTTTTGGATGGCGCGTGCCGTTCCACTCAGAAGGTGCCACATCTTGCGGTATGTCTACCGAACCGCCTGTGCCATTTCGACTGATCAGGGGCCTTTTGTCAGTATAGTGGGGGACAGCGGGAATGATGTTCATTTACAGAATTGAAGCGGAACTAGTCTGTCATTTTGCAACCTGAATTAGTCACTGAGTTCGCTGCAATGCGTTTTTGGAATATTTGTGGAAGATGTGTGTAATAAGTCACAACTCCCAGTGCTAGTCATTCGGGTTCATTTATTCGCGTGCAATATGAAATTGTTTACTTGGCCCAGGTTGCCAAATGCCAGGACATCCTTTTATTATTTACAACGGAGCTTAATGGATTTTAATCGCGTTTTTCCGCGGGTTTGTCCGCCTAGTAGCTCAGCGCGGAGAGCGTCTAGTTTCTAAGATGAAAATGCTTAGCTTAGTCGGTGTTAGATAGTGTGTTCTGTGTCAGTGTGTCAGTGTGCTAGGGAGTGTGCCCTGTCTGCCTCAGCACGCAGTGTGCTAGGGAGTATATCCTGTTTGCCTCGGCGCAGCAGCCCGCCCGGCGTACAGGCCACCACCAGTTGTGCGTCCCGCGTATATCAGACTTGGGCATTTACTTTAGAGCGTGTCAAGGATATCCGAGCGTGGCACGCATCAGTCAATAAGCAACATTATAGTTTCCAAGTAATCATTAACTGCTACTGAAAATAGTATATTTTTCAATGCATTCTCGTAAAAACCCTTTTAGGGTTAGACATCGCAAGAACGGTTGCCCAGATAATGCAATGCCCGTTGTCCAGCCTGCCTGCCAATTTGCCGTCGCTGTTTAAGATCTGATATTTTCTAGCTGTAGTAATTACATCAACATAAATTTGTACGAATCACCTGAATGTAGAACGATGTGAGGTGGCAGGGGCGGCGCCCGCCGTGGCTGCATGTGTCCGCCCGCCGGTAACGCTGCGACAGTAACCGGTCACCGGCTGTGTGTCGGTCGATCGACCCCAGTGCGAGCCTGCCTACAACTGTGCCCGCTGTGAGTTCTGCTCCGCCCCGGAGATCGGTCGCTCGTGCCTGACTGCGTTTGTTTTCGGATAGGGGCCGCTGGGCGACTGAGAGCGCTTATGGACTGAGTCCGTCCGGTGGCCCCGCTGACGCCGAGGCCAGGCTCCATGCGCCGCGCTAACGCCGCTGTATTCTGTGTTGTGATGTATGCTGGCACCGCTGTACCCTTCACCCACCGCAGTATTGCATACAAAGCCTTTGTCGTGAACGTCTTGTGTTGAGAGCCGAGAGGTCAGACTAATTGGGTGATCGGAGACGGAAAATTAGAAGCTATTATATAACAGTCAGTGCTACAGGAGCATCTGTGTGTTTGCACGCGACAGGTCACTGCTCCAATGTCGATAGGAATGCGATGATCTATTTAAGCTGAGCGACATTCATAAATAGATTCATCCTAGGGCGATGATTCGTACAACCACCGAACACCTCCCTGTAGCAGTACCCGGGGCCGGGCCAGAATCCGCTCTTCGTTGCCGCACATGAAGAGGAGCTGTAAACCTACACCGTCCATTTTGCCGGTTCTCCGCCCAGGAACGCGATTTGATTTTTACGCAGATGAAGACATCCTTCCTAGCGGGACCGAGTACTGACGTGCAACTCCAAGCAATGCTTATTTATGACCGTCATTCGCAACCAATTAAGTGGAACTGAGGCCATACCATATTGTCGGATCCATAAAATAAAAGAAGACTGATGGCAATGTTATCCCGTTTGATTTCGTGTTTGCATGTGTACGCCGCCAATTCTGTTCCAGAATTAATCAAGCGTGAAGCTTCAATGACCACCTATCGTACAGCATAAATCTGACCCCGGAATAAGAATGCAAGGTCGCTGCAGTGGCTGCTGCATGGTCGGCAGGCGGTGGTCATTGGTGGCGCGAGGCTCGGCCAGTCCAGTCCGCTGCTCCCAGGAAGGTGAGCACTTTTCGAGGGAAAATTAACCAGCGCGGAAAAAGATCAATTGTACTTGTAACGTCATCTTAAAAATTGTTATTATCTGACTGTTGATAAAATTGTCCAATATTTTTTTTTTACGCTCCACGTTGTAGGTAAATGACATCCTCTGGTCTCCATGCCAAGTCACGTCGAGGATTTTGTCGTGTGGTTGGAATTATCCCCATGGGCAAAAGTTGTGAAATTGAACAGTTTCCTTTTCACGTTTTCAAATCGGTGGCAGTCGATGCATCAACCAGTTCAGGCTCAATTTATCAGTCTGAGCCATTGCTAATCCCCAGGTTGCTCCACCTGATCGCGTGGAACCGCAGAGTTGGTTGGGGCTCCGCGACTGGTCTCCTGCTGCCGTCTACGACACGATGCTGGTGTTATCGGCTCTGCCAGTAGCTCTGGCTGTCCTGGCCGTGGCTCCCTCGGCGCTTGCGTTCGGCCGGCGCTCGCCTCGCTCTGAGGACACCAGTCTCGGCGTGCACCACTGCGCCAACCACCAGCCCCACACGCTCGACCGCTACCCAGTGGGCGGGCCGGCCGCCGGCTGCGGCACCGTGGTCCGGCGCGGCGTCACAGAGACAGAGCGGGACGAGGTCGTCTCGGCGCACAATGTCATCCGACGCGCCGTGCGACACGGCCGCTACGCCGACCAGAACCTACCGGCGGCCAGCGCGCTGCCCGAGCTGCGCTGGGACGACGAGCTGGCGCTGGTCGCGCAGCGCTGGGCCGACCAGTGCCGCGGCGGACACGACCAGTGCCGCGACGTGGCCCGATTCCCGGTCGGCCAGAACTTCGCCTTCGTGTGGAGCGGCGGCCGGCAGAACTGGACGGCCGAGGCGCTGCACCAGTGGTTTGCCGACGAGTTGCCGCGATTCCGGCAGGCCGACCTGGAGTTCCGCGGCGGCCAGGACCCCGTGTCGGGCGGCTACACGGGCCACCTGACCCAGCTGCTGTGGGCCGACACCCGGCGCGTCGGCTGCGGCTTCATGGCCGTCGCCGATCCCGTCTTCTGCGAGCGGCGAACCTACGTCTGCAACTACGGACCGGCCGGCAACGTGCTCTTCGAGCCCGTCTACCCGACCGAGGCGTCATCGATTGGACCGACAGAGTGGGAGCAGGGAGAGGTTTGAACGGGCGGACTGGTCTGCTGAGGACCGTCGATGGGTACCGGTGTGCCGACTACACGTGTAAACCGTCACACCTGATCAGTACATATAGGCCGATGTAAAACATATAGCTATAGCCATAACACAGCATTGCACCGTTGTTAAAAAATGCATCATGCATGTCATTCGCCATTCCATTTGTAGTCCCAGAATGAAACAGGCATAGAAGTACCGAGTAGCGAAACGGTAAAATGTAATTAGCTCATAAGCACATAATCTCTTAAGCGAACGCTAAGTAAGCACACTAGCTTAACAAGCTAATGATCAAAGTAATATGTTAAAAGACATAAATATCAAAGAGCCTCATTCAGTGTCCTGTTCTTAATAGGTCCCCTTAGTCCAATCATTAAATAGCCCTATGTAGTTTCTTACTCCTAAAAATCCTTCTGTGGGCAGTGTGTAGGTATTTGTACAGCACAGCCGGATCCTTCGGCTACCGACCTGACCCACGCCCTGGGGTGGGCGTGTGCTCAGCCCCGCCAACGTAACAAGCTTTATTAAGTTCTCCAAACACACGGCGTGGACTTAGCCAAGGTTAGCGTCTCTATGTCAAAAGGAATATGCACCATTAATTCTGTTGAATTAATGGTGGAAACCATGAAAGGAAACTACCAATATGTAACCGGACCTCGTTTGAAGCACTCGTGCTTTCTGAGGTAACGACTTTCCTTCCATGGCCGACTTTGTTCCGTCAACAGTATTCCAGAGTTACGCGCGTGCCGAGTCAATACACGACCGATGTCGTGCCGATGTGTGTTTTTGCGCAATGCATCGATAAATAACACGGAACAAACAAATTAATAAGTTCGGTTCAATTCTGGACCGAATGACCTCGCCGTTATTCGGCGACATGTTCGGTGCGCGATAAATTATCGCTGGGAACGACTCTTTGTCAAACAGCAGCTATTGACTCTCTTTGGTGTGATGGTAAACATTGTAACGGTGCCCGGTCATGATCGTACGTACCGTGACAGCGAACGTCGCCGTCAAAAGCGGGGTAATTCGGGCTCGAAGGCACGTCGCTGGCATTGCTCGCATGAAGACCGTGCGAAGCGGGGTCTACGGAGGAGGGATATTTGGCCCGAGGACTGGATAGAAACATCACCTTTACAGGGTCGTCGAATTTCTGACTACGATTTTTATTGCCGTTTTGTTCATCGGGGATTCTCAATCGCAATTCGCTGCAAAGAATCGAAGGAAGCAGATGAAAAGGTGAGCCTAAGGGAAACAGTAAGCCGGCTCCAACCCGTGCCAGCTTTAGCACGGGATCCTGTCTGGTTTCGCTGACTGCCGGCCATCTCTCCGCCTCCGACCCCCTCCGTGCCCAGATGTGGTGTCACACTGGAGTACTGCGACTGGTGCTGTTCGCCTGTTCGCTGATCACCCTGTCTGGGCTGCACGTGGACGGACGCCACTCGTCGGCGCTGTGGCGCGCGCTCCGTATCTGGCCCCTGCTGCTGACCATCGTCACCACGGCCGGTAACACGGCCAGCCTGCTGACGGCGCCGTCCGCTGGTGACCTGCTGTACGGAGCCGTCTACGGCCTGGCCGCCTCCCACGCGCTGCTGCTGCTCCTGCTGCTGCTGCGCCGCCGGCACCAGCTGCACGCGCTGCTGCGGCGCGCCGCCGCCATGGAGGCCGCCACGGCGCTGTGCGGCCGGCCGGGCGACTTTGCGCGGCTCCATTGGAGCGCGGCGGCCATTGCCGTGCTGGCGGTGGCCACCATCTGCGTGTGGTCGGCCAGTCTGTTCAGCGGCGCCCTGCTGTGGCAGCACCCCAACTACCTGTTCCCGATGTGGGTACCGACCGCGCTACAGACGCCCGACTGGTTCACGGTCATCATCGCTCTGCAGGTGCCGGCTGCCGCGGCCTGCTTCGCCTACCAGTCCGTGTTTGACGTGGTGCTGATCGGTCTGCTCGACTCGGTAGCGCTATATCTGGAGCGGTTGGATCGGTATACACGACGTTACATAACCGGAGACGACGCAGTTGCCGGAGACGGTGCGTCGCCCGCGTCAGAGCACAAGGTGCGTCCTGCAGGCGACTCTACCGAACTGGGGCTCGGCAAAAAACTGCCGGTGCAGGCTCTGAACCAGGGTGCATTTTACATATCTGACAATGCCGTCTCGCCGAAAGGGTCCGCTGACTTCGTCGCCAGTCTGGTCATAAAGCCGAGTCAGACCGGCACACCGAACGGCCTCTGGCTGTACAGCGCCGAACTCCGTCCCTCTCCTAAAGTCGAGCGCGACTCAGCCGATCCGGTCGAGCTGCGTGACCCCGCCGGGGACCTGGAGGCCGGCCTGGAGCGTCTGTCGGAGGCGTACCGCGCCGTGTACGACCTGGCCTCTGACGCGGCCGAGTTCTGCTCCGTGCCGACACTCTCGCTCCACGCCAGCGTGACTGCCGTGCTTCTGATCGGAATGTACGTCGCCATCAACCTCTTTATCGTCGGCGAGCAAGGTGCGTTCGTCCGCGTCAGCCTGGTCATCTTCCTGATGTTGAACACGCTGCGCGTTGCGTTCGTCTCCGGTGCGGGCAGCCGACTGCTGTCCTGCGGGGAGCGGCTCACCACGACTCTAGTTGGAGGTCGGTGGCCGCGCCGCCTCTCGCCCGGGGTGAGACATGCCCTGCAGATGCTGGTGGAGCAGACACGCCAGCCGCCCAACTTCCACGGAGGAGGCCTCTTCACCGTCCGCAAGGAGACCATGCTGTCGATGATGAGCTTCGTGCTCACGTACTTTGTGATTCTGGTACAGATGATAAGTACTTACGTATAATTTAGATAAATGGGTAGAGACGCAGGCGTGGGTATTCCGGCGCCAGCCATTAGAAAAGGGTTTCTTGTGTATTTGTTACACATGTTTCGCACTTTTCATCTAGCACATCTACTTATACCACGGATAACTGACCTGATCAGACCTGACCAGCAATAGGAGGAATATCTTGCGAATAAATGAAAAAAACGCTTCAATTACCGACAAATTGGATGCAGCGCATGTTTACGCCCCACTTTCTGACAGCCAGCTGTATTTGTAACATATATGATTTGTAACAATTGTATTCAAATATAAATATCGCAAAGATAGTGACTTCTGGTCACTAATGTCGAAGATCTGAAACGCACTTTTGATGAATTGTATCACCTTTTCCCGAAATATTACATCTGATTCATTGAAAAGATCTTCCAATCGCTGTAGCTGGGAAAACATTTACTTTCTTGAAGTGATGTCACTTCAGTAGCCTGGTTAGTGGTTACACGACCCTAGTTAATCTAGATCTGAAGTGTTTATATGCAAGAACCGTTTTTGAAACCCGCGAAAAAATTGACATCGGGCACTACAACTACCATGGACAACTACAAGCTAAAGACGATAACAATTAAGTGGTATCAATTTAGAATTCGGGACGTCTACCCAAGACATAATTTAAGCCAGGCCGATTGGCCACTGTGGAAAATAATCTTTCCTGTGGAAGCCAGCCAAAAACTGAAAAAGATGCGCTCTCGACCAGCGCACCAGAAGATGGGCCCACATTGACGCTCACGCGCCGTAGCCCGGGTATGTCAAATGTCCATCAACAGAGATTTACAACACTCACTGGTTGGGTTTTACGGATGAACCTATAAAATGTCTTGTTGTGTGCTTATTTATTTTCATATTGCATACATTGATGACGATGGGGACAATATGCAGTGACGGTAACTGTGATCAGATGAATGGGGCGGTTCACTCAGCTGCCTCCAGGTCCAGTCGTTTCCGGGTGAGGTCAGCCACCTCCGCCATCACCTCGGGCTTCAGTAGGTCACGGGCCTGCAACAGACGCGTCCCACACTGGTCAGATGGGAAAGGTGGCAGCGGATACCGACGCCTCAGCTTAGGGCAGGAGTACTGCGATCACCTCAGGTTTCAGTAAGTCACGGGAGTACGTCACACGCGCCGAACACACCTCAGGGCGGGGCGGGAGCCGGCCCGCGGCAGGCAAGAACAGGGGCGTCCACAGTCGTAAGCCCGTAAAATGCGACATTGAAATACGCTGCGTGCAGTCAGGTAGATGTCATTTTAATCAGCAACCGTTCAGGAACTACATCAGACATGTTTCGATCGAAAAGATACTCGTATGGTGTCCAGATGCCGATATCTTCGAGCCGTGTTTTTTTATATTATACATACATGTAATATACCGGTGAAATAATAACGTCACCAAAACATAGTCCCTGAACACGGTCACTAATTTATCAAGTGACCTCACTCGGTAGCCTGACCCGGGCGCCTGCGAGACGGGTATGTACCGCACCTACCTGGAACTTTGAGGAGGCTTCGAAGGCGTACAGTATGGACGTGTCATAGAGCATCATCCAGGAGCCGGCCAGTGCCAGGATGCAGTTCCGCAGCCGCGAGATCACCTCTCGCTCCGGTAGGGGTACACGCTGTCGGAGGATGACGGGGTCAGGCAGACTGCAGCGGGTCAGCACGGGTCACGGTGAAACAAAGGGTGAGGTGGCGAGGAGGGGGAGGGGAGTGCTCTCTTCCTATGAACTGTCCCTCATCCACATACACTTATTTCCAACAAACATCAGATTCCCTTGGAAAGACAAGAGTAGGTACTTAGGTTACTCATAGGTCGGGTCAAAAGCAACCAAGGCGTCTAAGGTCAAAATTTTACCATTTCAATCAATTCAATTTTCAACGTAAGTTAAAAGCAAAAACAGAAAAGGGCGTCGTTTAGCTTCAACTTAAATAAACAATTTATATCCGCCAATATATGTATAAAGACGCCTATAAACAATATATAGACTTAATTTTTATACAACGATTCGATCGACACACCTAAGATATTTGATCACTTTTTGTATCCCTCTACCAATACATCATATTGCCATTTTACCTAATGTTAAGTCAATTAACTAACTGAAATACATTGGTTAACGCAAACGCATCTCAGAGGACACGTACTCAACCGAAAGCGCCATTGCGGCGACATCCTGGCTCCTGCACCACAGCGCCATTGCGGCGACATCCTACAACACAGCGCCCCACACGGCGACATCCTGCATCACAGCGGTCCGCGCGGCGACACCCCACACCACAGCGGCCCGTGCAGCGTGGTGCGACCCACCTCCAGGTTCTGGACGTATCCGCCGGTGCCGGCGCCGCCGTCCTCTCCAACGACCGTGGCGCAGATCCAGATGTAGCCGTTGTTGCCCAGGATCACTGTAGCGCCGCAAGGCAGGTCGTGGAAGTGATTCTTCCGCCGCAGTACCAGGTTCGACGGCACGGCCACCATCACACCCTGCGAGAGCTGAACGCCCCGGAGACCGGTGTCAGACACAACTGGGGCATTCCGCGTTAGATCGTACCACTTTTTTCCAATTTGACACCCTCATCTCTCGGAATTTGACGAGAATTGGTCTCTGGGGTAATCAGGGGCTCTGAATCCACATGTAACAATTTCAGGCTTATCAGAAAAGTATTTTTTGAGTTATGGTGTATAACATTTTTTGGATCTTGCTTTGCAGCGCTAAGTTTGGCGGGCTGTAACTCTAAGACGGATTATTCAAATGCCAAATGTTATATAACATTGAACTTGCAATGAAACAGAGATTAATATGTATTTTTGAAATTTCGAAAAATACGCTATTTTTGATATATGACATATCGAGTTTTCTTTCATTTGTATTTTTTGGACTTTGGGACCAAATTTTTTTGAATTTTTATTTCTTTAAAAAAATATTTGGCTCATTGTTAAAAAGTATGCAAAAAATTAGGAAGGTGTTCTTTCTATAAATGTATCTATTTTACGTTCCGATAACGGTTTCGAAAAGTGATTTCGGGAGGGGAGCTTACAAATGGCGTGGTAAGGCTGCTTAGTGACATCACGGGTTACTGAAATTTCAATTCAAGTCTGAGTCATCTGAAAAAAGTGAAAAGAGGGTTCATTCAACCCTCTTTCCTATGAGCGCGAGGGTGAAAAAGGCTGTTTGGTTCTGACATTGTTTTGGACGCCAATGACCATAGCTGTCCGAGATGAAAGTTACAGGACGCATGGTGTCCTCCAGAGGCCTCACAACTTATATATCTGGGAATTTTTCAAGGTTACATGAGGTCAGGTCGGTCACGTGACATCACTGTTATAAATCAATGGGGAAATAAAAAAACTGTTATTTTGGCGCCAAGAATGATCTACAACTATCCCACGTACATGGTATCGTGATTTCATGCACTCCTTGCAAAGTCCAATGCTTTACTTTTGCATTGTTAACCTTGCGTGAGGTCATTTATGACGTCACTAGGGTCGTACGAGTTTTTCGTCAATAACTCCCGATCAAATGGAGCTAGAGAGTCGGGAAAGCCACCAATGGACTCGGGAAGACCTTCCGAATCGAATGATATGCCATATGATACCCTTTGCCCAGCTTCGTGACCTGAGGGGCTCTGACCTGACCTTGACCCGAGGTCAACTACTTATGTTGACCTCACCCTAGCAAAAAGTATACCATTCGATGCACCTGAGCTAGGCGAACACAATGATGCCAAAATCGCGGCTCTGCGGCCATTTTTGCGAAGTTATTTACTAAAAACCGAACCCGTAACTTCAGTCACGTGACCTGACCTCAGACGCTACCGGTTAACCGAGACCTTAAAATCGGGTACCAATCGCTGCGACTTGTAACGGCACACACGCTCGTTTTTTCCGCGAGGCTCTAGCTCTATTAGAAGCGAAACAGCGTGCTGGGGTCGTATCAACCCCTCCGAAACACATTTTGTTTGCGGGAAAATGAGGAGCTTATAGAAAGAACACCTTTCTAATTTTTTGCATGTCGATTTGCAATGACATGAAGATTATTTTGAAAAAATAAAAATGTGAAAAATTTTGGTTCCAAAAGTCATTAGAGGCAAATGAAAAAAGATTAAGGTTTTTGCTCAACATTGAAATTTTTTCTTTGGAATTTTTAAATAGTAATATTAATTTTTGATTCATCGCAAGCTTAGTGTTGTTTACTTTTTGTTGGTTGCTTAACCCGTTCTTGAGTTATAGGACATCAAACTCACCGTTACATACCGAAGTTAAAAAAATGTAATGCAATATAACTCAAAAAGTTTTGATCTGAGAAGTCTGATATTTTGCCAGGCGTCTTTGGGGCCTATGATTACCCCTAGGACCGATTTTCATTAAAATCTGAGAGATGAGGGTGACGGGCCTGGTACGATCTATCGTGGAACGCCCCAACTAGCAGCAGCAACTGACACAGTCACACAACTCCAGGCGTAATGACGTCAGACACAGCTGCCAGCGGCGACTGACGTCAGACACAACTATCAGCGGCGACTGGCACAGTCACACAACTATCAGCGGAGACCGGCGTCAGACACAACTTTCAGCGGCGATTGACAGTCACACGATTCTAGGGGGTAATGACGTCAGACACAGCTGCTGACGGCGACTGACGTCAGACACAACTATCAGCGGCGACCGACGTCACACAACTGGTATAGGCAATATAACTGATAGATATAACTGATATAGCTCAGGTATGATAGGTGTTAGATATAACTGACCTCGGACAACTACCAGCGGCGACGAACGTCACACAACTGACGTCAGACACAGCACAACTGATGTTAGGCCAGTGGCCACTGATGGCACACACAACACACAACAGCTAGCGGCAAGACTGGTGGTGCCTCACAGTGGTGGTGATCTTAAACTAGAGATTGGATTTACTGGGCTCATCTGTCTCAGAGTGCAGCACGTTGACACAGCTTACACTCAAGTTGCAACTACTCTTACCTTTCCATATTTGAGACTGCGAGTGTGCAGCGACAGTGAGCCGTCGGAGAAGATGTTCTGCACCTCTGCCGAGATGAGATCACCCTCCTCCAGGTAAGAGCGCATGGCCAGCTCATCCTCCTGTGTCTTACGGCGCTGTTCGCCGCCGGGCAGGTTCACAGAGGAAAGCATGAGTAGTGAGTGGAGTCGACTGCATGTGTCCACCTTCCAGCGTTTCTGCTGCACCTCGATCACCCGGCCGATCACCACGTCACCAATCTCCCCTGGAAAACAACACAACCGCTCACTCGTCACCAATCCCTCCTGTACGGCAGGACACGCGGTCAGTCGACACCAATCTCCCCTGGACAGGAGGACACACGGTCACCACGTCACCAATCTCCCCAGACGGAGGATATACGGTCACTCGGTCAGTCACCAATCTCCCCTGGACGGAGGATACACAGGCGTCACCTATCTCCCCTGGACGGAGAACACACGGTCAACCGTCAGCAATTTGTCAGCAATATGCCCTGGACGATGGCATACTCGGTCACTCATCGGGAAATAAATAAATTGTAAAAATGTACTTTTTTAAATAATTTAATCACATTTCACTAAGGATAGACCAGCTCAGGAGGAGTTCTTACCCCTTGACTATGTCCCTGATTTGTTAAGTATACATACATACCATTGTATCGGGCTTTCAGGGGCTGAACAGAAATAAGTCGATTTATTCTTCTCACAAATCCTGCAACAGAGGCCACTAAATTCTCTCCATCTTTGTAGGTACCGTGACCCCTGAAAATACATATGCAATGTAAAAGCACATCAATGGGCAGCTTATGGCAAACAAAGAGGACAGAGCCATAGAGCCGGCATCACGTAGTGAGTCAGCAGGCCATTCATTACTCGCACTAGTTAATCCACTATCGTCACTCTCGTGTGAGTCGTGCCTAATTGACTGATAATCGCTGCACCATTTACTTTATGGACCCTTTTACAAACATTAGGAGGGTGAGGAATCCCCAATCACAGACAATTTTACTTAGCAACATGCTGCGTCATTTGCGCAGGACTGATTTTGTTTTTGTTCCGCTCCCTTTCTACTCTTCATCTATACTCCGTTACACGAGCTCGTTCTCAAGGAAACGGCGGGGCCGATGTTCGGACAGCCATTAGCCGTCATTGTGTGAACATCGCATATGATCAACATACATATGTACCGTGGATAATAAACATCCAACGTTGAGAATTATACTATTTTTGATATCCTCACGATCCAGATGGCGTTTGTTGCAAAACTATCTCCAGGAGTTAAACAGAACAAACGTAGCACCTTGCAACCCATTTGTGCTTCTAGAGTGACAAAGTTCTGCATGTGTGGGCGAGAACTGACGTTTCCATCAGCTCTCTCCGACTCCATTCCACCTAGTGACAAACGCATCGGAATTGCATGCACCTGACTTACCTCATGAATCCGCCATCTCCTGTGACGGTGTCTCCTGGTGTGACCAGTTGGGCGGCACCACGCGTGGCTTCCTCCTGACGCAGCCTCTCTGCGGCCAACCGTATGTCTACCTCCATCTTGCTTTACAATGATCTGTCGTAAAGGAAAAAGACAGGAATGACTTAATACACATAATCTTTATCATTTTATCAATATGGTTGAGTGCTCGTTATGTAATTTCTAAAAAACATCTTAGGATACTTCTCGAATAGTTTATTTTTGGAATGAATTAACAGAACTGATTAAACGAAAAGATTATCTTAACCCTGCCGGACCTGTTGATTTTTCACATACCCGCCGGCCGAGGGAGGGGGGGGGGGGACGGGTACGACCCCCCTCGCCGTTTTGCCCCTGGTCACTGGTGCAGATAGCGCGTCGCGGGAAAAAAAAACGCTCGTGTGCGCCGTTACGAGACGCAGAGATTGATACCCGATTTTTAGGTCCTAGGTCAACCGGTAACCTTTGAGGTCAGGTCAAGTGCCCCAAAGTACGGTTCCGTTTTTGGTGAATAACTTCGCAGAAAAAACGGCCTCAGAATCGTTATTTTGGCAGCATCGTGTTCGCCTTGCTCAGGCGCGTCGAATGATATACTTTTTGTTTGGGTGGGGCTAACTTAGGGTGTTGACCTCGGGTCATGATCAGGTCAGCGCCCCCAGGTCACGAAACTGGTCGAATCAGGTCATTTCGCATATCATTCGATTCGGCAGGTCTTCCTGAGTTCATTGGTGGCTTTTCCCGACTCCATAGCTCAATTTGATCGGGAGTTATTGACGAAAAAGTAATATGACTTTTTTATTATATTTTTATTTTATAATAAAACGACTCCGACTTCCTTTAAGTTATTGCAGGGGATTGCATTGTTAAATGCAATCTCCATTGCATTTACCTAACAATGGCCTGTCTTGATTCATATCAGATAGGCCCAAGCGCCTTACCTAGCAGAATTACAATACCTACCTGCTGGAAAAGCAATTAAGTCCACTGAAAAAACGATGTCTCCTTGGGTATCGTTGATAAGCGACTTGTTTTTTTTTTCTAAGTGGGTTTAGTTGGTGGCTCGGTGCTCGGTGTCTGTCTCAGTGGAGTTAGTTAACAGCTGTCTGTCTCTGAAATATGAGGTGTGTCAAACGCATGCCAATTTACTGTTTTATGTTGCTATGGAATAGTGGACAAAATATATTGACACATTTATCCAGAGGAACAGGGGAATGCATAACGAAGGTAACAGATGGCAGAAGCGGAGATTGAAAATGAGTAGCGTAGCAAAGCTACAATTCCGAGAAACTGTGCAGACATTTGAATAGTAATCTATTTGCATGTTTGCTTATGTACCCAGTAAACATGCCGACGTCGGCCCGACGTCGGGCCGAGGCTCGGCCCGACGTCGGCCCAACGTCGGTTCAACCTCGGCCCGACATCGGCTGGACGTCGGATATGCCCGCATGTTCCGACGTCCAGCCGAAGTCCAGCCGACGTCGGGCCGAGGTCGTTTGCCGAGGTTGACGAGATCGTTCGTCGTTGGACCGACGGGGCCGACGTCGGCATGTTTATTGGGACAACGCGCCAAAAATATCAACCGGCGGCGGGATTCGAGCCCCCCAGTCGCCGACGTCGGCATGTTTACTGGGACAACACGCCAAAAGCATCAGCCGGCGATGGGATTCGAACCCCGTGTCATTTGAACGCGAGGCCAGTGCGCTAACCACTACACCACACAGGCAGATACCAAATTTCGTTTGGTTTGTTGCCTTATGCCCTTTCGGTCTGACAAGACCATTTCAGAGCCGGAAGGATGATAGGATGGAGACATTGGTCTTCTTGGCGAGCACCCTGGGTCCAGTTCATATAGAGTCCCTGGTCCCATTGCTATTACGTGACACTTGTTGGAAAGGGCGACCCCACAATGGATTCATATAGCCACTCTTAGACTTACACACCTGCACCAACGTTTCCCAAAGTGTCCCTTTGATAAGTGGCACTTTGGCAAAGTGACACTTGCCGACTGACCTTTCTATATGAACTGGGCCCGGCCCTGGTGAGTTGCCGGGGCTGAGCCTGACCAAAGGATAGGCCGAGCAGCCCCCAAGCACTCACCGCACCCGGCTACGGGCGAGCTCGGCTTACGGGCAATCCCAAATGGGATAAAGTTTCCCGTCCAGTCCGGATCAGGGGGTTGCGGCGTGGAGGAAGATTTGAGCTTCCTGAGGATATTTTGAATACAGAAGCTCTTTATGAAACATGAAACATGTATTTTATATTATTTTAACGGTCAAAACAGCGGCCGATGTCGGTCCGACGTCGCCCCGACGTCGGCCCGACGTCGGCTGGACCTCAGCAATTGATCTCGGTCCGACGTCGGCCCGACGTCGGCTGGACCTCGGCTGGACGTCGGAACATGCGGGCATATCCGACATCCAGCCGACGTCGTGCCGAGGTTGGACCGACGTCGGGCCGACGTCAGCATGCCGATGCCGAGTTGCCGACGTCACCCCGACGTCGGCCGACGTCGGGCCGACGTCGGCATGTTTACTGGGTAGGTATCTAAATTTCAAAAAGTTTAATGAGAAAAAGCACTTTAAAATGGCCTCCTTACAATTGTCATTTATTCTGGGGTGTGTGTGTGGGGGGAAAGATATTATAGGGAATATTCTTAAACTTTGTCTTGGCTATAGGACTTAACCTAATAACATATACTTCATTCGTTAGTTGTAGCAGCATTTTAGGTGAGCTCTATATGGAAGGTGTTCAGTGAAATGTTTGAAAATGTGAATTTTTCTGCCGATATTGCGAGCTTCCCGTTGTGTCTGACAAAAGTTCTGTCTGGCTTATTTTGATAATGACCTGTGGTGGAAATCATCAATAATTATTTCATTATTTCATCATTTGGTATTTCATTGTAAGGAGGCAATTTAAAAGGGCTTTTTCTCATAGAACTTATACCTATGCCTTACATACAGCAAGTGCTTCAACAAGTAAACTTCAAAAAGTTTAACTGATTTACAAGCTATTCATATCTGTGGTATATCAAACTTCAATTCCTGTGTTCACACCTCTTCCTAGGAACCTATGCTTTGCTAGTACTGGTCGCTTCTCCAATCTCCATTAAGTCACAAGTCACAACGCAATGAAGTCAGGAAGTCAAAGTGTTCTGGACCTCACCAAACCCAGCATGGTTGGAAATACAGCCCTAGTTTTCAAGTCAAGTGAAGCTACACTGTGCATCATCAATAATCAATTTGATTTTAACATTTCATTGCCAATTATATTGCAAAAAAAAAAATAATGCTATGAATTAAGTAGAAAAGTACTTAAATTGTACATTTCATTGGCATAGTGCTCTACCGAGAGTTTTCATTTTAACATAAACAGTACAGCATTTATAACTATGGGCCCTGGATCCTGACACAATGTGCTCATCTAATGTCATCTAATGGAATAAAAACTATGCTTAAGCTTTAGCTTTTCAGCTTTCCAGGCTTTCAGGATCACATCTCAATTCAGACAGGTCCAGGGGTGCCCATAACCAGTCAATTTCCTTTATAGTGATTTTCTCTTTTTGCACCCTCTGAAAACTGGACAAATGAACAGAATAAGAACATTAATTAGAAGAACACCCCCCCCCCTCTGACCTTAAAAAGTGATATTTTCAGCATAGTATTGGTATGGTTGTTGCCAGCTTAAAAAGTGAGATCACACATCAATACTATGATACTTTAAACACAAAACATTAAAGGAAAAGGGCCACCTTTGTGAAATATGAAGATATCGTTGTTTTTCATTTTGACATTATTATTTTTCGTTTTCTTTTTAAAACTGGTGCCAGAAGTGCACAATTCGCGAAAAAGTATTTAAAACTATTTAACATATTGGTACTATGTTGATACTCTCTACGGCACCTACTGTATGATGGTATAGCGATGACGTCACACTCAGGCCAATCAGCGTTCAGAAGACAGACTCGTCGGATTGTGTCAGATAAGCTGATTGGTTAAAGCTGAACTGATTGGAGCTGATTGGTAAAAAACCAAAGCCTCGCCGCGGGTGTCTGTATTACAGGGTAAGGACGCATTCCTGGGATAAGGATGCATTCCTCTTTTAAAATTGCCGATACCTACGAATGCAAGCCGAAATCGGCCGTAAGGAGATAGACTGGAGGGTTTTCGGACACAGGCTACAAGATGACTATCTCAGTTTCAATCACCATGTTAAAGGTGGCCCTTTTCCTTTAATGAGTCACACCCAAGCACACATTGATTTCATTAAGGCAAACATTTATTTTTAAGACCTTTCACTTTGCCTATCAAATCAAACATTTTCTATTGTCAGAATCTACTTGTCCATGCTAAATAACGTGGAAACCGTCATGAAAACGTGAAATGGACAATATTTTTTTATTTATCACAATTATACCAACCGTATTTCATACAATTATAAACGCAATGAAATTACACTACCGACGCCACATTTCTCACGTCCATCAATTGAGCAGCAGATTGATATTCGCGAATATCAAACTAAAAATTCGATATTCGGACGGGGAACGCAATAACTCAAGAACCAGTGAACCGATTTTGATGAAAATGCCCTCATTCGATTCCTCGTTCCTTATTGCAGGTTGACAGCGATTTCCAGGTCACTAGGTCATGACCTTCAAGGTCAAGGTCAAGGTCAAAGGACGGGGAACGCTCTACAGCCTAAAGTTACCGTCCGATTGGCTTGTAAATGGTCTCAATCGATTCCTCGACCCCGATTCCAGGTTGACAGCGATTTTCAGGTCACTAGGTCATGACCTTCAAGGTCAAGGTCAAGGTCAAAGGACGGGGAACGCTCTACAGCCTAAAGTTACTGTCCGATTGGCTTGTAAATGGTCTCAATCGATTCCTCGACCCCGATTCCAGGTTGACAGCGATTTCCAGGTCACTAGGTCATGACCTTCAAGGTCAAGGTCAAGGTCAAAGGACGGGGAACGCTCTACAGCCTAAAGTTACCGTCCGATTGGCTTGTTAATGGTCTCAATCGATTCCCCGACCCCGATTCCAGCTTGACAGCGATTTCCAGGTCACTAGGTCATGACCTTCAAGGTCAAGGTCAAGGTCAAAGGACGGGGAACGCTCTGCAGCGTAAAGTTACCGTCCGATTGGCTTGTAAATGGTCTCAATAGATTCCTCGACCCCGATTCCAGCTTGACAGCGATTTCCAGGTCACTAGGTCATGACCTTCAAGGTCAAGGTCAAGGTCAAAGGACGGGGAACGCTCTACAGCCTAAAGTTAAAGTCCGATTGGCTTGTAAATGGTCTCAATTGATTCCCCGACCCCGATTCCAGCTTGACAGCGATTTCCAGGTCACTAGGTCATGACCTTCAAGGTCAAGGTCAAGGTCAAAGGACGGGGAACGCTCTGCAGCGTAAAGTTACCGTCCGACTGGCTTGTAAATGGTCTCAATCGATTCCTCGACCCCGATTCCAGGTTGACAGCGATTTCCAGGTCACTAGGTCATGACCTTCAAGGTCAAGGTCAAGGTCAAAGGACGGGGAACGCTCTACAGCCTAAAGTTACCGTGCGATTGGCTTGTAAATGGTCTCAATCGATTCCTCGACCCCGATTCCAGGTTGACAGCGATTTTCAGGTCACTAGGTCATGACCTTCAAGGTCAAGGTCAAGGTCAAAGGACGGGGAACGCTCTACAGCCTAAAGTTACCGTCCGATTGGCTTGTAAATGGTCTCAATCGATTCCTCGACCCCGATTCCAGGGTGACAGCGATTTCCAGGTCACTAGGTCATGACCTTCAAGGTCAAGGTCAAGGTCAAAGGACGGGGAACGCTCTACAGCCTAAAGTTACCGTCCGATTGGCTTGTAAATGGTCTCAATCGATTTCTCGACCCCGATTCCAGGTTGACAGCGATTTTCAGGTCACTAGGTCATGACCTTCAAGGTCAAGGTCAAGGTCAAAGGACGGGGAACGCTCTACAGCCTAAAGTTACCGTCCGATTGGCTTGTAAATGATCTCAATCGATTCGTCGACCCCGATTCCAGGGTGACAGCGATTTCCAGGTCACTAGGTCATGACCTTCAAGGTCAAGGTCAAGGTTCGCGAATATCAAACTAACAATTCGATATTCGGACGGGGAACGCAATAACTCAAGAACCAGTGAACCGATTTTGATGAAAAGACCCTCATTCGATTCCTCGTTCCTCATTGCAGGTTGACAGCG